TCGCCGCAGACCCCCTCTCCACTGCAGAGCGCCCAGGTCCAGCCCCCGCCCCGGCCCCACCCCTGTCCCCCAGACCACGCCCCAGCGGCTACTTGGACCCATACACACACCCATGCGCTCTCCATCATATCCTCAGAGTGTGGGTCTTCGAAGCCCCAGATCATGTTGGAGAGCCACCTGGAACCAGGAACTGTTCTACTCTTTCGTGACCTCAGACAGGAATGGAGGTACACCCTATCAGGAACCCTAGACCATATACCTCTAATTCCAGAGGCACCCCCCCCCCATCATATCACAGCATCCCAGGGGATCCAGACACCAACCTACCTCCCAACCATCCTAAATCATACCCGAGGCTCTCATGGCCTACAGACCACACCCCGGAATCCAGGGAGGACTCAGACTATATGTCAGTGTCCATAAAGAGCCTACCATAGCTTGATTCACTGGGGAGCCCTGGGGAGCCACGCGATGTTTCATAGCCATCCAGAGTAAAAACTGATCGAACCCCAGCAGAGTCGTTCCTCCATCAAGGACTTTAAACCATTCCCTGCCCAGCAGAAGGAATTGTATGCCATGGCTACTGTCTAAGGGACTCCAAACATCTCTTCTGCCTATAGGAAACCCTTAAAACTCTCCTCAGTTCCCCAATTACACCTCAGGTCTTCCTCTAACACTCTTGGGGACCTTGGAACTTTCACTCTGTTCCTTTCAGAGCAGCCCTTGGTTGACCTCTGCCCCTATTTGCTGTAGCTTCTTTCTCACCCCCACTCCCAGCAATCAGTTCTGCTGCCTTCAGGTCCCTGAAACCTCTTCCTCACTCTCACTCCTGTGGAAACCTGAATACCTTGCTTACTCCTTGTCTGGATCCTCAGTATCCAACTCCTACCCCAGAGCTGACCTCCTGCCCTTTTCTAAGAGTCCAGTTGATGTCTCAGGCCGTGTTCCATCTCTTTCTGACATATACCTCCAAACTCAGCCAGACCTGCCCTCACGATATACATATATATTTCAGGATTTTTAATAGTCAAATGCAGAGATCTAGTTCAGTTCAGCCTCTTCACTGCCAAACCTGGGGATAGGGACTGTTTCAGCTTCCCTGCCTTCTCCTTGCCTGTGGTGACAGGGTGCAAAGGTACCTGCTGCAGCGAACCTGGAACTTCACATTATCCTTGTTCTTGATCATGACAGACTTGGCGTCCTTCTGCAGGGCTGTGAGCAGAACGTCTTTGATTACCTCAGTTTTCCAAGGCATGGTGCTGGGCGCTTGGCTCTGGTGTCCACACCTGCCCAAAAAAACTTCACAGTGACAAGAACCAAAAAAAGAGGGGGAGGGGGAACGCTCAATATCTGTCTTATTGTAGTCCCCAGATCTGTAGTGTCTCAAACACTTCCCATTTAGGGACCCCCCATATGGAGATCCTCATCCAAACCCCATAAATCCTTCCTAGCCATACCTCACCGACGCAGATGACAACGGTCCAATTCCAACCAAGATGAGCTCCAGGAGATGCTCCTAGTCTCCCCTCTCCAGACTCCACCCGCCCCATGCTCTCTAGACACATCTCCACCTCACCTTTTAGTTAGAGCAAGGGAGTACAGGGTTGAGGAGAAGGAAGGAAAGGAGGACTGGGGAGATCTCTCAGCCTGTGAAGAGCTTGCTGCACAGCACAGGGGGATGGTGGCGCGCCCCAGTAACCCAGGCTCTGTGGAGGCTGAGACAAGTGGATCCTTGGAGCTTTCTGGCTACCCCACGTAGCCTAATCTGCCAGCCGTAGGCCCCAGTGAGAGAGTCTATCTCATAAACCAGGTAGACCAGGGCTGGAGAAATGGCTTATCTGTTTAGAGTGCTGATTGCTACTGCAGAGTACCCGGGTTCAATTCCCAGCACCTATGTATTATCTGTAATTCCAGTCCTAGGGGATCCAGCACGATCTTCTGACCTCCACACGCACTAAATATTTGAGTAGTCCACAGACATACAGGCATGCCAAACATCCACACAGATAAAATAATTTTTAAAAAGAAAGAAAAGCCAAGTCATGGTGGCGCACGCCTTTAATCCCAGCACTCAGTAGGCAGAGGCAAGCAGATCTCTGAGTTTGAGGACAGCTTGGTCTATGGAGGGAGTTCCAGGACAGCCAAGGCTACACAGAGATACCCTGACTCAAAGGGAGTAGGGGGCTGGAGAGATGGTTCAGTGGTTAAGAGCACTGGCTGCCCTTCCAGAGGACCTTGGTTCAATTCCCAACACCCACATAGTGACTTACCTGACACCTTTGCCCAGCCATGTGTGCAGGTAAACCACTAAAGCACATAAAATAAAAATAAATTAAGAAAAAAAAACAAAAAATGGTATGCTGGGCAGTGGTGGTGCACGCCTTTAATCCCAGCACTTGGGAGGCAGAGACAGGTGGATTTCTGAGTTCGAGGCCAGCCTGGTCTACAGAGTGAGTTCCAGGACAGCCAGGGCTACACAGAGAGACCCTGTCTCAAAAAACAAAACAAAAAAAATTGTAAATAAATAAAAATAAGGTGAACCACTCCTAAGAGACAACAGCTGAAGTTGACCTCTCCCCTACACACACACACAAACACAGACACACATGGATGCACGCACACACATACACACACATACACTCACATGTGTGCACACATACCACACACGATGAAGTAGGAGAATAACAGCAGCAAACAAACAAGATAGATGTGGCAGTGGTTCTAGGACATTCAAGGAAGAAAGTGCTCCCCTGAGTATCCCCATTTTACAGATGAGAACCACTGAGGCAGAGAGGTCTAGTCACTTGCCCAGGGTCACGCAGGTAATGGCAGCATAGCATACAGTAGCATACAAACAAAGAGGGAGCATACCTAGCATACAAAAGAGAGGTGAAGTCATCCCTGGACTGGAGGTGTGGGAAGAGGGAAAGTGAGTAGGGACGCATAATGGAGAAGAGAAGACCCTCTGATGCAGGCAGGGGCTGTTGAAAGTACACAGTGCAGTTGCCTAATCGGAACCCTAATTCCTGCGACAGATCTTCCAACACAGACTCATGACCTAGCTTATACTTCCTCACCTAGGCCCTACCCCCCATTCTGGTCCCACCTGCTGCCTCTTAAGCCCTGCCCTAAAGCATAAATCTGGCTCTATATGGCAGGCTGGCCTCAAATTTGCTTGAGACTCACGATTCTTTTTGTTTGTTTGTTTGTTTGTTTTGTTTTGTTTTGTTTTGTTTTTCAAAACAGTGTTTCTCTTATAGCCCAGGCTGTCCTGGAACTCACTCTGTAGACCAGGCTGGCCTCGAACTCAGAGATCCGCCTGCCTCTGCCTCCCAAGTGCTGGGATTAAAGGCGTGCGCCACCACCGCCCGGCGAGACTCACAATTCTTATTCTTTTCTTTTTTTGATTTTTCCAGACCGGGTTTCTCAGTAGCTTTGGCTGTCTTGGAACTCACTCTATAGACCATACTGGCCTCCAGTTCACAGAGATCCGCCTGCCTGTGACTTCCAGGTGCTGACTACAGGGGAGCACCATCACTGCACCCACCACCACCACCTCCACCATCATGATCGTAGGTTCCACCCACAAGCCCAAGCCCCACCCACTACTACCTAAGCCACACCCTCTATATTTAAATGCCTTCCTGCCCAAAGAATACACACACACACACATACATACACACTCACATACACACACACTGACTCACGAATACAATTTAATAAAATCCATCAATATTTTAAAAAAATAGATTAAATAGCAGGGTGCTGGTTCTTTTTAGAAGACGTAACGAACTCATCAAACCACCACCCCCCCCCTTTGGTTAGTCTTTGCATTCCAAATTTGCTCTTGATTGGGCAAGACATGGTCCTTTCTGATTGGATTATTTACAGTTCTACCCTTAAAGACAGTTCAACTCTGAAGGATAGTGAGGAGGGATAGGGGAAAGAAATGGCTGTTGAGGCTCTTGCCTAAAAAAGCATGGTGTGGTCCCTGGGCATGGGGTAGTTTATGGCTTCCGCTTCTGTGCCTCAGTTCCTTTGTCTTCACATTGAGGTTAATCATGGCTACTTCTTCATTAATTAAAGAATTAAGCTAATGCCTGTATGGTGCCTACGAATACTTGGCTTATAGGAAGCACTCAGTGGGGGAGTTAGCTGTTCCGCATCTGAGGCTGTGACTGTGTGAACTTAGACAAGTTCCATTCCCTCTCTGATCTTGACAGGCCAGGGGTTCCTTGACCTCTTCATTAGATGCCTCCTCTTATCCCCAGACCTCTTTCCCACCTCCAGCCACTGAAGCTGTCATCAGAAGTAACGTGGGTGGGGCGGAGCCTCTAGCAGAGAGGAGACAAGCTTGATCCAAATGTCCCAGAACATGGAAGGCCAAGGGCATTTCTCCATAGCCCAGTACAGAGATATTCTATGCAGAAGTTCTTGACAAAGGGTTTGTCTTGACTGATGACAAGAGAACACGGATTGAAAGGGGGTGAAGGAGTAAAGAATCTAAGGGCTCAGAGGGAGAGGCAGGGTTAGAATTCCCTTTTAGGCTCATCGAAAAGCGCCAGGGTTGGGGGAGGGAGAGCCCAGGCACAAGGTCACTGTGTCATCGTTACCATGGTAACGGCCACCTCTCACCGGGGGAACCTGGAAAGAGGTGGAGAGAGGGAGTTCCTGGGGCCTTGGGTGTGAGTATTGAGGAACCATGGGAGACGCTGGGAGAAGCAGAGAAAGTATGATTCATCTCTGTGAAGTCGCCCATCTCAGAGCCCTGTATACCTTGGGTGCTCAATACATGTCCTTCAAAGAGAGACAGAGGTCTGAGAAAATTCAATGCCCTGATGTGCCAGGAAAAGAAAATAAAAGAAAAAGAAAAATTAAACGAAAAAAAAAAGAAAGAAAAAGGCGAGAGAATAGGGAATGTCCTTTCCCTGACTCTTCAAGCCTGCTGGGGCTCACTGAGGGTTCTGAATTCTCTCCTCTTCCCACAGTCCTGGGCCTTCAAGTTTAGCAAACCCTCAAACTACCCATCCCTCAGCATCCTCCTGAGGGCCTGAAGCAATTACATTTTGATCCTCTGACATTTTTTGGCCTTTAAATTCTTGAGAAAAGTACCATTTGGCGCCAAAGACGCCTTCTAGTCCCAGAGCAGGAAACAGGTGGAGAAAAAGGGTGCCCCGCGTCCTCCTCTCAAGGGTTTTTATCCCCTTAGGAGTGACCCTTCACAGATTCAAACATTCCTTCAAATTCCCTAAGGGGACCCAGACCACCTTCCAGCTCAGGAAACCCCATAGTTCCCTCCTTTGGTGTCTGTTCTCCTGGGACCAGCTTGGTTTTGCTAGAAACGTCCGCCCCCTCCCGGCCACAGGTTGGAACTGTAGGGACTGTCTGTCAGCCAGCACCGACGAAGAGGTGCAGATTCCGCAGATACCGCGTCAGAACCGAGTTAAGCATCGCTAAGTTCCTGAAATTTTAACCTTTATTTAGCTCTTGGCTGTTCATATCCTATCAGTCTGAGTCTTCAGAAGTAAGGATTCCAAATCCTCGGCTCAAAGGTCAACGAAAGAAAGCTAACTTTTCCTTAAGCCAGGTCTCGGTGAGGTCGTCTGTGGTGCGGATTTCAAACACCTGAATAAAGGGCAATCGGCATTAAGATCCAATGAGGACCCCGTAACCCCCTAGGACTCGGAAGTCCCGATTCCAGCCATCCTTTTTCAAACCCAGAAGTCCGTGCCCTAGCCTCCTACTAGAAACCTAGAAGTCACCCTCCTACTTTGTTTGTTTTTCAAGAAGCTCTCCTGCTACGAATCCAGAAATCCCAGCCTCCACGTCCCTCCTTTCTCAGACCCTGGAGTCCAGGCTCAACCCTCCTCTCTCAGTCCTGAGGATCCAGGCCCAGCCTTTCTCTCTGGGGTCTAGAATTTAGCCCCAGTCCCCCAACCCCAGGGGTCCAGCCCCTGGGTCCCTCCCTCAGACCCTCGGGTTGCCCAGCCCCTCCAGAGCTGGGGCTCCTCCGGACCTTTGTAAGCTCCGCGGTCTGCACCAGCCTGTTTTTACTTCCCGCGTACATCATCTGCTGTTCAGGCTTGCAGCCTGTGTGAGGAAGAGAGAAGGATGTGGTCGGGAGCACAGCATAACTGGTAAAGCTCTAGTAATGGCCAGTAGGCACGGAAGTTCAAGGAGCCTTGGAGGAGCACCTTGAAAGTCATCCGTCCTCAAGAGTTTCTACCTTTGTTAAGTAGCTTTGTTAAGTTATAGTAAGAGTCTCCCGGAGAAGATTCAGACGCCTGTTGGGGATTTCCAGGTAATATGAACAGGATTTTGTGAGCTCTTGATAATCTAAATGCTTGCCCTCGCTTCACAGATCCCACGGACAACGCACAGCCACACACACCACATACACACACACACACACACACACGCACACGCACACGCGCACGCGCACACACAGTCACGTGATTATACTTGTTTTTCTTTTCCCTAGACAGAGTCTCTCTACATAGCCCAGGTTGATCTTGAACTCACTGTGTAGACAAGACTGGCCTTGATTTCACAACGATTTGCTTGCCCCTGCCTCCTGAGTGCTGGGATTAACAGTTTGAGCTGTCAAGCCTGCCTGCCCCACTTGTCCAGATAAAATTCTCACTTTGTAGTTTAATCCAGCCTGGCATTCACAGTTCTTAGGCCTCAGCTTCCCAAGTGCTGAGATCACGGAACATGACCAGGCCTGGCTATGGTGTCCTTATGGGGGGGAGGGGTGTGTGTGTGCTGTGTGTGTGCTGTGTGTGTGCTGTGTGTGTGCATGTGTGCGTGTAGGGGAAACTGTTGTTTGAGACAGAGCCTCTATGTAGCTCTGGCTATCCTAGGACTTGCTATTCACACCAGGCTGGTCTCAAACTCACAGAGATCTGCCTGCCTCTGCCTCCTGTGTGCTGGTTTAGAAGACGTGCCCCACCATACCTGGTTACTATTGCACCCTCGTATTGATTTGTGTTTTGTTTAAGTGGGGATAAATCTCCAGGCTTGCAGCATACCGGGCCAGTACTCTCCCAGTGCTCTCCCAGCTTCCGTATCTATACTTAAGAGGTTCCTGTACCCACTTACAAACACTTCCATACACACACACTCAAACACACACACACACACTCATACACACTCACGCACACTCAACACACTCTATACTCACACTCACAAACATACCCTCTCACTCTCGCACAGGATCATTCACAAGCACACACATTCATACACTCATACACACTCACAGACTCACATACAAACACACATTCTGGTGCACACGCTCTCTCACACACACACTGCTCCTCAGAGTCTAAGACACTGTGCTCACCCACGGGGCTGGAGAAGATGAAGCACAGAGGGTAGGACACCCTTCCATCGTCGTGCACATACTTGTAGCTGTAGACCACAAACCTATGGAAGAGAGAATTCACACTCAAGATCTGAGAAGCTGCGCAATCGATGCTCTCTGAGTTCACACCATTGAATCTGGGGCTAGGCCCTCTGACTTCCCTATCCCAATAACGGGACCTGAGGGCTGGCTCAGCAGTTGCATTCTGGGAACTGGTGCCTGACCCAGGAGCTGGAACTGCATGTGAGCCAACGTGCTAATAAGTGCCATAGTCGGATCCATTTGGATTTCACAGAAAAGGCAAACTGTGAGATAAAACTCTAAACAAAATCAGCATTGAATCCCCACCTCTGAGGACGAGGCCCGCTTCTGGGCCCTGGTTCTTTGTAGTTGTCAAAGGTTCCTGAGCTGGGTGGGGAATGAGGTCCAAAACCCAAGAAACCCCAAAAGAAATGAATCAAGATGAAAGATGTGGACAGACCAGTTTGTATCAGGCAGAGTGGCCCAGGCCTCTGATACCAGTACTCGGAAGGCTAGAACAGGAAGATGGAAGTCAGAGGGCAGGGAGCTGTAATCCCAGTGCTTGGGAGGAAGAGATAAAACAATCAGGAATCCAGAGCTGTCCTTGGCTGTATACTGAGTTCAGAGCCAACCTGGTACACAAGAGACTGCGTTTCAAAGAAACAAGAGGGGCTAGAGAGATGGCTCTGTAGGGCTGCAGATCAGTTTCCCAGGATCTAGTGTCAGGGGGGCTTACATATATACACGCACATACTTGGACACAGACACATAAGCGTGAATAATCAGTTAAATCCTCTTTATAAAGAGGGGGTGATGGAAGAGATGCTGCGGCACTTAAGAACAACTGTTGCTCTTACAGAGGACTGGGTTCGGTCCTCTGCTCTCACCGAGTTACTCACAACACTCTGCAACTACAGTTCTCGGGGCTCCACAGCCCCCTTCCGGCCTCTAAGGACATGCAGTGCGTAGACATGCGAAAACATGCACACACATAAATTTAAAAGAAAAATCTTTTTTGAGATAGGGCTCACTATCTAATCCCGGCTGCCCTGGAACTGTCTTTGTAAGACCAGGCTGGCCTCCAACTCACAGAGATCCACCTGCCTCGGCCTTCCGAGTGCTGGGATTAAAGGTGTGTGCTACTGCCATCTGTCCTTAATTTTTGTAATGCCCTCCTGATTTGTTTACCCCTTAAAAACTTATTAGTAGTTTCTATGCCCCCCCCCCAAAAAAAACTTATTAGTATAAGGGCTGGAAAGATGGCTCAGTGTTTAGAAGCACTTTCCGCTCTTGCAGAAGACCTAGGTTCCATTCCCAAGACCCACACGGTAGCTTAATGCTCTAGTTACAGGGGATCCTGTGATGCCTTCTGACCACTGCAGGCACCAGGCATGTATGTGGTACCCAGTCATAACTGCAGGCAAAATACTCATGTACATAAAACAAAGAAATAGATCTTTAACCTTCTCCTGAAATTCTCTGCAATAAAATAATAATATATCAATAAAAGTTTCTAGACTATGACTTCTTGGCTTCAAACTCAGAGATCCAGAACTGGCACCCAACAGCCCCCCAGTTTTTAGGTCTATCATCCCGTACCCATAATCCCCACTCTACCCCTTCCCCCCACCCCCATATACCTGGGCTGTCTCTCTGGCAACTCCAACTTAAGTTCCTCTGGGGAAACATTCTGAGGCAGAGAGAGAGAGAGAAAGAGAGAGAGAGAGAGAGAGAGAGAGAGAGAGAGAGAGGAAGAGGGAGAGAAAAACAAATGACTGTCATTCAGTTCATTAAATGATCACTTAAAATATGCAGAGACATTGTGCTAAGAAGCGCATGTGGATTTATTGAGGTTTCTCAGAACCCTACAGGAAGGTCTTATTATGCCCACTTGACAGCTACAGAAACTGAGGCCCAGCAGTGTCAAGGGACTTGCCCCACATTGCACAAGACACAGTAAATGCCAGAGTTCCGATTTGAATCTGCGTTCCCATGGTAACCACTCTAGTATACTTCCTTTTAGGGGGCCTAAGGGAACCTAGCTCTTCCTGGTCAATACCCTTCCCTGCCAAACGGCCTTAACTCCAGAAGGAAGGAAGGAAGGCTGTTGCAGAGGGCCAGGCCACAGTGGGAGGTATCCAGTTATATAGGGTTGCTAATGGCTCTGGGACCTTATCTAAAATGAAAACCTTTTTTTAAAAAAAAAAAAGCTCTAGGGCCTAGCTCTACAGTCTACAGGCAAGAGCTCTGTACAGCTATGCTGGCAACCTTTTCTTTTTATTTATTTAACTCCTGTGCTGGCTACTTTGTGTCAACTTGACACAAGCTATAGTCATCTGAGGTGGGGGAACCTCGATTGATAAATTGTCTCCATTAGATCAGATGTAGCCAAAGCCTATAAGGCGCTTTCTTTAGTGAGATCGGAACACTCCGCCTCAGGCATACCACTCCGGGACTGGTGGGCCTGGGTACTGTGAGAACGCAGGTTGGCCACGCCATGAGAAACCAGGGAGCATTCTTGCATGGTCTCTGCATCAGCTCCTGCCTCCAGGTGCTAGCCAGGTTTGAGTACCTGCCCTGACTTCCCCAGTGGACTGTGATTCAGGCTATGTAAACCAAAAAAAAAAAAAAAAAAAAAAAAAAAACAAAACCCTTTTCTTCCCAGCTTGCTTTTGGTCATGGTGTTTCATCACAGCAATAGTGACCCTAAACTAAAACATCTGGCTTTTTTGCAGAGGTCAGGCCTGGAACTCACTATGTAGGCCAGGCTGGCCTCAAACACACAAGAGAGATCTGCCTGCTTCTGCCTCTTGAGTTTGGACATTAAAAGACAGTGCCACCACACCCAGCCTTTATTTGGCTTTTTGATACAGGATCGCTTGTAATCCAGACTAGCCTCCAACTAACACTGTAGCCAAGAATGACCTTGAATCCCTGTCGGTCCCTCTCTCTCCACCCCTAGAGCGCCAGCATAACAAGCATGTGTCACTGTGCCCTGTTTATGAGGTACCTGATCCAACCCCGGGAGCACTCTGCCAACTTTGTCCCCAGACCTCTCCCTGTATTTAGGGGTCCAGCGTCCCAGCCCCTCACCTGGAATTCGTCCTCCAGTACCACCATCTGCCGGTCTTTGTCCACTTTCACTGGGGAGAGATAGAACACAGGTTATAGATCCCTCCGAATCCCAGGGGACACCAGCCCAGCCTTCCCTGCCTTGTCATCTCCCCACCCCCGGTGCCACCCTTCAAAGGGCAGAGGTCACTGACTTATGATGGCAGCGTTGTTGGTCTCTTTACGGAAACGGAATTTCCTCAGTGTTTCTTTTAGCTCCGGGTCCACTTCACACACCACCAGAGAGTCAGACTGCCAACAGGACAGGGAGGAGCTGAGCTGCCTGGGCAGCTAACATGGTCCCTTTCCTGACTTAGTGCCTTCATAAATCAATGAAGACGCTGAAGCTAGCCCATGTGAGAGGCCTTTGGCAAACATCTGGGTGGGAGAGCAGTTACCAAGACACACAGTTCGGCTCTGAGGTGTACACAGAGGTCAGGTTCCACCTTCCTGGAGGGTACTCTTGGATTACTCCAGAAGACCCAAGGATCTGCTTGCCTGGGGCCAAACCACCACCTCTGTGACCCAGCTTTGCCTCAGCTGGGTCCCTTCCCTCCCTGTGACCTTCATCCCCCAGCTGATCTCCAACCAGGTACCCTCTGCTCCAGGTCACCCTAAATCTCAGCCCCCTCACCCTTCCTTGTCCCTCTGACCATGTTTTTTCTGTCCTCGGGCCTCTTCTCAGTTCCTCTGTCTTCTAGGGGTGGGGGCCCGGGCTGAGAGGGACGGGCTATGAAAGGGGGAAGCTTTCATCTAATACCACATCCTGTTTATGCCTGGCCTAGGACAACTGTCACAAAGGGCTCCTCCCCTTCCCTCCTTCCCTGCATCTGTCAGAACCTGTGAGGCTTTTCAGTCACTAAGATGGGGGTTCAAATACTGCCTCACTGTGGCCCTAGTAAAATTCACATCTCTGGTCTGGGATTGCTGTGAAGAGGAAATAGTTTTGACTATCTCCCAGACTGATAGAGATGCCTAATGAAGAGTAAACAAGCCCAATGTTGGGGAACACACATTTACTTTTTATTTTCTTGGTTTTTTTTTTTTTTTTAAGACAGGGTTTCTCTGTGTCAGTCCTCTCTTGTAGACCAGGCTGGCCTTGAACTCAAAGATCAGCTTGTCTCTGCCTCCCAAGTGCTGGGATTGAAGTTTGCCACCACCCACTGCTAAAGTCAACTATTTTATCAACCCCATTCTCCCAGGTCCCACTGCCTCTAGAGCAGTGGCAGGCTACACACAGAAACCCTGTCTCAAAAAGTAATAAACGCTACCATGGAAATGGTGGCCCATTGTTGTAGTGATGTTTCTGTTCACTGTGTGAAGCTGTGTCTCTGGCCTTCCTTGCCTGCCTAAGGCGCCTTCTGATAGGTTAAAATAAAAAATGTATGTCCTATAATAGGTTAAAATAAAAAGGCTCTGACCTATAGCAAAAGGCAGAATAGCAAGGTGGGACTTCAAGACAGAGGAACTCTGGGAAAGAATGAGGTGTGGAAGTGGGCTGTATGAAACTGATGAGTGGTAACCAGCCACATGGCAGAACTTAGATTAGTGTAAACGGAATAACTGAGCTACAAGTTACTTGGGAGCAAGCCTAACTTAAGGCCAAAAGCTATTAAATAAATATAAAAGTCTCTGTGTTATTTGGGAGCAAGGGTAGGCATAGAAAAGGCCCAAACAGTTACAGCATTTACATATGGATACATACACAAACATACATACTCACACACATATATACACACACACATATATACACATATATAATGTTTATATGTACACCTATACACTATTATGTATGTGTATATATTATTATCCTATATTATATGATTATAAATATTTAATTAAATCTACAATTTAAATATAATTATATTAACTATATACCATAACATAATAGTACATTACACACATATACACACATAATCTTCCAGCACTCAGGATTGTCACAAGTCTGAGGACAACTTAGTTGAGAACAGTGAACTCTAGGATAGCCAGAGTTACACAGAGACACTGCATACCAAAAGACCAAAATCAGGCCGGTAAGAGGGCTCAGAAGGTAAAGGCACTCGCTACCAAGTCTGAAAATTTGAACTCATTCCTTGGGCCCATATGAGGAAGGAGTGAACTGATTCCCACAAATTGTCCTCTGACCTCCACAAGTGGGATGTGGCGTGCCCATGCACACACAAACATAAACACATAAACTATAATCTAATACAAAGGAAAGAGTAGATGCTAGCTGGGCACAATGATGTGAGCCTGTCATTCCCTCTGGGGAGGCAGAAGCAGGAGGATGGAGAACTGCAGGCCATCCTGAGCTACACAGTTCAGATTTTTGTCAAAAACAAAAAAAAACAGAGGTAGTCCTTTAATTTTAGAATTTGGCAGGTAAAGAAAGACAGGCAATCAAGAGCGACAACCTTGGCTTCGTAGCAAAATTGAGGCCAACTTGGACGACAGTGAAGCCAGCCTGGGTATACACAAGATCCTGTCTCAAAACAAGCAACAACATCAAAAACAGGAGGTTCCAGAGATGGCTCACCATCTAAGACCAGTTAAGAGCACTGGTAGCTGAGAAGTGGCCGAGTACACCTTTCGTCCCAGCACCCTGGAGGCAGAGACAGGCAGATCTTTGAGTCTGAGGTCAACCTGGTCTATACAGTGAGTTTCAGGATAGCCATGGCTACACAGAAAAACCCTTCAAAAAGAAAAAAAAGAAAAAAAACACAAACTCTAGAAACTCTGATAAAACAAACAAACAGGCATCGAGGGGCTGCACTTAGCGAGGTGAGAATGTGTGTTAGCATGCACTGAGGGGGTTGCACGTAGCACAGTGAGAACGTGTGTTAGCACGCACAGTGCCTGGCCTTTTGATCTCATGAGTGTCCCACAAGGACGCACATGTGTTCATGTTGTTCTCCTTCCCTTGAAACAATCCCTGAATAACGTGACCTACTTACGTGTATAAATTAAAAAAAAATCAATTCATAAACCCAACTGTCCTATAAAGAAGGAATAGAAGCAAAAAAACTCATGAGAAAACCGTACGTATTTTAGTGAAGAAATATAGGCAAGCAAAGGAAGATATTTGTAAGTCCTTGCTGCACTCGGTGTTCTGTGCTGGCTCCCCTTGTCCCACTGGCCAGACCACCTCTGCAGCTTCTCTCTCTCTCTGTCCCTGTTCCCTAATGGATCTTCCCCTGAGCCTCTATGCAATGTTAGTTCTTCTATTTTAAAAACATAGAACCCCCTCTCCAGCTTGTATGGTGGTACATATCTCTAATCCCAGCACTCAGGAGTCTGACACAGGAGTCTTGGCCAGCTACAAATGTCTAACAAGACCTTGTCTCCAAAGACCAAAAATAAAAGGGGAGAGGGCTGGAGAGATGGCTCAGCAGTTAAGAGCACTGGCTGCTCTTCCAGAGGACCTGAGTTCAATCCCCAGCAACCACATGGTGGCTCACAGCCATCTGTGATGGGATCCAATGCTCTCTTCTGGTGTGTCTGAAGACAGTGACAGTGTACTCATATAAATAAAATAAATAAATCTCCAAGCAAGAAGGAAAGAAAGAAAGAAAGAGAAAAGAGGGAGAGATCAACAGTTAAAAACATTAACTGCGGGCTGGAGAGATGGCTCAGTGGTTAAAAGCAATGGCTGCTCTTCCAGAGGTCCTGAGTTCAATTCCCAGCAACCACATGGTGGCTCACAGCCATCTGTAATGGGATCTGGTGCCCTCTTCTGGTGTGTCTGTAGACAGCTACAGTGTACTCACATACATAAAATAAATCTTAAAAAAAAAAAAAAAAAAAAAACATTAACTGCTCTTCCAGAAAAGTTGCATTCCTTACCCAGAACACACACTATATCTAAGAATTGTAACTACAGTTCCATAAGATCCGATACCCTCTTCTGGCTTCCGTGGGCACCAGGCACAAATATGACGCACTGAAAAACATGCAGGCAAAACACCCATACACATCCAATAAAAACTAACCTATGTCAAAGATTAAATGCAATGTGGCTAGCCCTGTAGCTCAGTTGGTAGTCTGTCTAGTATGCACGACCTGGTTCAATCCCCTGTGCCATATAACTGTATATAGTAGCACACTAGCACTCAAGAGGTGCAGCCCCTCGGGTCTACAGTTCAAGGTCATTCTTAGTTATCTAGAGAGTTAAAAGGCTAATGTGGGCTACAAGACCCGTCTCAAAAATAAACAGCTGGGTTTGGTGGTGCATACTTTTAATCCAGACATCCAGGATGCAAAGGCAGATGGACCTCTGTGAATTTGAGGCCAGCCTGATTTATATAGCTGAGGTCCAGGACAGCCAGAGTTATACAGTGAGACCCTGTCTCAAAACGAACAGGACCATGGAGTTTGCTCAGCAGATTCAGGTGTTTGGTGGCAAGCCTGATTACCTGATATTGAACCCACATAATAAGACAGAACTGATTCCTGCTAGTTATTCTGATTTCCACTTGTATGTCATGGCAACCACATCTGTTATCTCCTTCCAAACTTTCTCAAAACAATCTATAGTGGTTTTTTTTTGTTGTTGTTGTTTTGTTGTTTTTCGAGACAGGGTTTCTCTGGAAACCCTGGCTGTCCTGGAACTCACTCTGTAGACCAGGCTGGCCTCAAACTCAGAAATCTGCCTGCCTCTGCCTCCCAAGTGCTGGGATTAAAGGCGTGTGCCACCACCGCCCGGCCCCCAATTTTTTCTTAAACTCCATGCTACAATGCTAGCTAAAAAAAGGGAGGAGAAGAAGAAGAAGAAGAAGAAGAAGAAGAAGAAGAAGAAGAAGAAGAAGAAGAAGAAGAAGA